TACATAAGTTTTACTTATTCCCTAACATATTGCTTGTTTATCCATTTTCCATTTTAACTTCCCGTAGGGTAAGTTATAGTAATCGCAAAAAAATCGAAAATATTTTTTTTATATATCTTTACGTTTCAAAGGCTTTTGAAAATTTTGGCATACCTTAAAAAAATGTATGTATGTGTGTGTGTATGTATGTGTGTGTGTGCGGATACAAATTTTCGTCACCGATTTCGGGAACACCGATCAACCGATTATAACAATTAAAAAAGCATTCGATTCGTATTGATAAGGGGACGTGCTGATCAGTTTTTGGCAAAGGAAGGTCTAGCCGTTCCGAAGATACGAGTAAAAAGTTTTTAAGAGAACGGGTTATGGACTCTCAATAAACAATAAGTGAAAAAATGTGATTTGGCGGTCAAATATGTTTATTGGACATATGTACATCAAATTATCAGATATTTTATAGAGATTTTAATAATGTATACACATTTTGTATAATTTTTGTTGAGTTCCGTATCTATATTTTTCATTACGGTACAGAAAGTTCTAGCAATTTGCCTAAATATACGATGCACCCCACTAGTTATTACTTTTTTTTCTACGTCAATGAATTTTTTACCCGAAAGCACAAGGTGCACAGAGTCAAAGTCCTTATTTTTCTTTTTCGGTACAGAGATACAGTCCGATTTTAGTAAAAATTAGCTCTAGTAAATACTAGGCTCACTTTTTTCTGTATAGCAAAGGAAATGCATTTATGCATCATAGGCTGGTTTTTTCTATAGGTATGTCGGACACAATACCGCCTTTGTATAATAGCTAGTAGTAACCGCCGAAAAGGCATTACTATGTTGGGGGAGGATCTAGAATGTCATAATTCTTGCACTAAAATTATTCTTATAATTCGCTCTTTCTCTTTCCATATATCGCAGGTCAACTTGCACTTATCTCGCAAATGTGTCTATGGCGTTCCAAGCAGGCTCAGCTGTTACTGGGTGTATCTACTAATTTGTAATCAACTTTGTCAATATTCTCTGCTTAATGTAATACTATATACACATTACAAAATAAAAATGAATATTTTTTTTTTAAATCTGACAAAACTAGGTATAATTATTCAAACTGGTAAGCCGGCTAACAAAATAAGTATTGACATTTCAAAACAAAATATATTTTCTATATTCATAGAATTAAAAATAAACTTTTTTGTTATCCCTGACGTTTATTCAAACCGACGCCTGCCATATCGGTAGCTATGACTACGCGCTTGCGTGCATGCACCTCTTGAGTCTCGATATCGCTCTGTCGGTCCTCGTAGCGCCCGCCAGCCTCGAAGGAAGGAGGCGAGGCTCCACGGATTCCCGCCGTCCTGGAAAATCCTATCTCTGGGCGTCGGCCCTTCCGCGGCATCATCAGTCACTCCGTTTGCAGCAGTAGCAACTATTCATCGGATCATCATTTATCCAACGACTTTCGGTCAATCGTGACATGTCATGTCATTTTCAGCAGCCGCCTGCGTCTGACATCGGTCAGTGGTGACCGCCTGCGCCGTGCCGCAAAAGCGTGCGCGTGGAGCGTGGTCGTCTCCGGACTAAGACGGTTTGTGTTAGTTCGCGTCACGCTACGTAATCACGAGCACGGCGCGATGTAGTGGTGGTGTCATCAATTGTTAATGACGACATGTCATTGTTAATGATGAACGAGTTATAATAGTTAGTGTTGAAAAGTTCAAAGTGTATGTGTAGTTAGTTTTCGGAAGTAACTTAGAAAATTATGATTTTTAATAAAACCGAATAATTAAAATAAATTTAAATTGATTTAAAAAATTGCTGCAAAAATTTGCATTATTTTGGTAATATTTTGTAATATTACACTTTTACATACAACATAGTAGTGGCTATGACTAGATTAAAATTAATTAAATTTGCATTTTTTGTGAAATTCAAATAAAACAAAATTTGTTATAAAACATAATATAAGGTAGAACAGGGTTTGAAGGTCCGTGGGCAAAAAGGTCCACCACGAATATCTCAAAACAAATAAAGTTATGTTAACAACACTATTTGAAAGTAGAGGGCGCAAAATGAACAACCAGCCACCACCTTAGTTCTTACGACGTTGATATCAGGAGATAAACGGCAATGTTTAAAAATTCATAACAAAAGTATTTTATCTTGTTGTTAGATTTTTATTGTGAGGACAAGTGTCTAATACTTATTTATCTATGACAGGTGTCTAGTTTTTAAGTTTTACGATATCTTAATATAATTTTTAAGTATTGATTATTTAATTGTTTCATAAGATGTATTATTATTATTGAGTTAGAATCAACACATGTTTTTATAGAATCTCTGAAATAGCTCAGGTGTGGCTGAAGTAAAATGGATTAAGTAAACCTTTTCCCTGGCGAACGTATAAGCAATAAAAAAAATAGTAAATTAAAAAGTGAATTAGGTTAAAAAGAGCAATTTTACAAGAGATAAATTGAATTAATAGTTACTAATTACTCTTCTGATAAATATTTCCAACAAAATTTCAGATCAATGTTATAAAAATAATTGTTCATTGGTTGAATACGTTAACTATTATTTTGCAAAATTTATTTAAAATTAAGAATAAGTAATTGAACATGTTTTTTCGATGGCTGTCCCATTTCACACAACCTATGGAATAAACGATGACATATTTTATGAAAATGGGTATAAAATTAATTTTTATAATTAGTAATTAACTAAAAATTTTACTGAACATATTCTAATAGTTGTTTGTTTGATATGTTTTATGATGTAGTACATCTGGTTTATACAGTACAATTACTAAAATTTATATTGGACTTTTGTGCCCAACTCTACCCCATTTTACATTTATCATATATTTTTTTCTATTTAACTATCAATTCTTGTTCAGCTTTATTAAATTTTGTACTATAGGGTAGGGCGGACACAAAGGTTTAATTTGATTTTTTACACATTATTTTAAGCAATTAGAAATATAACTTTAATTTGAACAATTATACTGTTAAAACCACATAAAAAGTTTAACATATTTAACAAACAATTATATCTCTGTCCAGTATAAATGTCCGGTTGCTCTTTTTTTCAAAAATTTGTCACCCGGTCTTTTTACCACATAAACAAAATAAAAAGAGACTGTCAGAATTGCAAGAGATTTCCACCTATTTTATTTTTTATTTTAAAGAAATTTAACGGAATAATGCCTACAATATGCAGCCATTCAGACGAAGTTTATTTATTAGGTCAAACAACAAATTTAAAAATTAAATTTCAAAAAGTATATTGTTGAACATAATAAATAAAAATATTTACCAACTGGTACAACTATCTTGAATCTTGTTTGAGTAGATATTTGATTAATTTATCACAATCAGATTATTTTTTTTTTTTTGAAATAATATTACTACGAATATGGTAAATACAAGATCTATTTAAAATGCATATTTCATGGGCACATTTTTTTATAAATTTCACACTCAGCCTTCAACGAAACTCCGTAAAAATAATTCATCATTAGAGTTGAAATATCTACTAGTTTAATCTATATTTTGTAAAATTGCCTTTTTTAGCTTATTTACTATTTTTGTTAATAATAATAATTTAGCTTATTTTCACATTTTGTTAGTATTAAGGTTTAGGCGGTCATTTTTATCCTAATCATATTTAAGCTAACATATTCTAGAGCTTTCAATCCCATATATATTTAAACTAACCTATTCCAAAACTTTTAATCCCATCCATATTTAACCTAACTTTATTTAGAGCTTTTTATGCCAACCACATTTAGGCTAACCTATTCTACAGCTTTTTATACCAACCAAATTTAACCTAATCTATTCTAGAGCTTTTCATCCCAACCACACTTCAGCTAACTCATTCCAGAGCTTTTTATCCTAACCTCATTTAAGTTAACTTATTCTACAGCTTTTTATTCCAACCACATTTAAGATAACCTATCTTAGAGATTTTAATCCCAACCACATTGAAGCTAATCTATTCTAGAGCTTTCAATCCCAACCACATTTAAGTTAACCTATTCTGCAGCTTTTTAACCCAACCACATTTAAGCTAACCACGTTCTAGAGCTAAAGGTTATATAAAAAACTGTTGGATTTAATTTAAAACTATCTATACATATTTTTTAAAATAACTAAATGACCTGTTAAAAATTATATTTAGGTATCGTGAACTAAATAAGACCGGTTAGGACGTAAAAAAACTAACAGCAAAAAAATACTGTCGTTACAAAGTTGACAAAGAAGACATTCTACTTCTAATAACGAGGTTGCCGAATTTATGATGATGGCCGGATACACATATTTTGCCTTCTACTTTTAAACAGTATCAATAAAAAATTACAATATGATACTTGTTTTTGATATATTAGTGATGGACCGCGGACCTTCAAACCCCGCTCTACTCTACAACAAACAATTTATACCGTTCTGCAAAAGACAATAACAGTTTCACTTGAAATAGCAGTAAATTACATGCTTTGGCTGCTATGTGTATTGAATTTATGTGCTCGAAAAGACACATACAATTCTGTAAGCATATCTAATGTTGAATGATTTCTCTACAGGGATACAGTTTCTGTAAAGGGAAATTCAAGATCCGGCTGTACTATTCTTAGACTAATATAAACATGATATGTTATAAATTAATTTATCTAAACGCTCGTGCTGGAGAGAAAATTAACAAATTCAGTTTGGAATGGTTTCATAGTAAAATATTGATGTGTTCATGAGGATTGTAAATATAGAATAACACATAATAGACCCTTGGCAAAGTTTGTTGAATATTCATAAAATACTACCTACTATAAATATACCAATAACCAGTTTGATATGTGTGAGATTAATATGTGCCTAGTTGTAGAATAAAATTCCAGTGTACGTAATTTAAAAAAAGTCATGCTGTACAATTAACCATTATATCATAATCCTATTACAACAATTTCCCACGATGTTAATGCGTTATTTTACTGTCGCTGTAATGGCTCTATTTTTGACGCGCGTCAATTCTACTGGACGGGGAAGTCCCAAAGTTCGGTTGCGCGATAAACAGGAACTTCATGTGGGTTTATTGGTTCCCCATACAAGTTTTGGAGTTCGTGAATATATCCGAGCAGTTAATTCTGCAATTCTCAGTTTGCAGAAAGGTAGAGGTCCTAGGCTAAAGTTTTTGGACGCTTTCGAAATCACGCCCAAAATGGTGCACCTGGAAATGATGACGTTGACGCCTAGCCCAACAGGTAATTGATAGATAAATGATAATAATCAATCTCAAATAATATTATACATCGTTATATTGTAACAAAACCGTTAAGATTCTAAATTATATTTCAATATAAGGTCAAACCAAAATATCAAATCTTACATTAATTTAATACCCTATGTTTATCATCCAGATTACGTAGGTAATTAGTAAATCAAGGTAAGGTGTTTCTTACCTTCAATAGATAAACACATGGTGATACTAAGCCTATTCATCTAATTAATTATATAGTGCCTGATATATATATATATATATATATATATATATATATATATTAATAAGGGAACTGAAGTCAGTAAAATGAGGTTCCAAAAAAACACTGATAAATTTAGAACAAAATGTTACTTTTTACAATGAGGAAATTTTTGCTCAAAGATAATAAATACTGAATTTAAGTAACCAATCTTGATATATGGGTTGTATTATATTGAGTTATACATTTTTTTATTAATATTAATAAATAAAATAGGCTATTCTGCTAACATTTAACAACAAACAATATATAATAAAAAAAAACATTAATATAAATAATAAATAAGTATGATAACGATGATAGTAATAAAAATAATAATAGTGATAACATCAATAAAATAATAATATTAATGATAAATTAATAAGACACACATATTATATACATTTTTAACTTCCCTTAGGGTAAGTTATTGTAATCGTCCAAAAATGTAATTGTAATCGTATGTATGGATACAATTTTTCGGTCACGTTTTCGGGCGCACGGATCAACCGATTTGAATGGTTCGAAAAACATTCGATTCCTATTGATGGGAAGATGTGCTAATTAGTTTTTGGTAAAAGCAGGTCCAGCAGTTACGGAGATAAAGAGCAAAGAGTGCAGAAAATAGAAATCGAAGTTTTGAGAGAACGGAGCATCCGATTTGAATGATCTAATAAACATTCAATTAATAATGATTGGGAGAATGGGTTAGTAGTTTTTGGGAAAAGCAGGCCCAGCCATTTCGAAGATACAGAGCTAAATGTGCAAAAAATGGCAGTTTTTGAGGAAACTAAGCGTCCGATTTAAATGATTTAAAAAACGTTATGCTTGTTTTAACAAAATAATTGATTTTGGAAAAAAAATGTAGCAAAACTTTTTTTCAATTTGTTTTTTTTTAGAATTTTTTTTTTGCGAAAATAATTCAAATTTTATTTTTAATTCTGATTAAAGTTCTAAAATACTTTAAACAAATAATTTCAACTTTGCAATTCAGTTTATATAATTCTTATAAATATTAGACAATGTTACAAAATTTATAATAATCTCTCTGAAAACATTCAATATTCGAACATTTTGTTACGGTACGGAAAGTTCCAGCAATTTGCCTTAAGGCACGATGCCATACACCCCACTAGTTTTATTCACGATTTTATAACTTTTGTATTCACTGTCCATATAATCGGTAAAAAGTAGTTAAATTATTTATTAATGAAAAAGATACATAAAACAAAATTGCGAATCCATAACACACAATAGAAATATATTGAATTCATTTGTTTTTTGCCACTCTAGTTTTTATGTTTCAAAATGCAATTCAAATAAAACACGTCACTATTTTATGGCTTTCCAATCATAAATTTTACGTTTAGTTTCATTTTATTTCACAAACAATTTAATTAACGACCACATAAACAACACGCTAATAAATAAAATATAAATTCAGACATTTATGGAGTCAAAGGTATATCTAATTTTTATTTTGATTAGAAGCCATAACCATCAAGGATGAGATAATCCAAGTCATCAAAATATGATGTTATGGGTTTACGGCTTGATTTCTGAATAATTCATATATTTGGAAAGCTAATTTTCAGCACACTTAGCTAACATTTCAGATGCGTTAGGTAATGGGAATTATCATAAAATATCAGTCATTAAAATTAATAGATTGATAAATTTAAAGATCAATTTGTTTCGACTGAGTATCTAATACATGTAATGATTAATAAGACCATGGTAAACCAATTACAATATAAATTTAGTTGAAAATTTTAGAAAGTTTAATTCAATGGCAAAATATATAAGTAAATGTAAAGTATGGAAGAAAACAATAAATTATAAACCAATAATTTGGATTTATTCATAGTATGAATTTATGAAAAAATGAAATTGAATTTATATTTTCTGGACTAATATTTCCATTAAAAAAATCTGTATCAGAATCGTGATCCCAGTGTTACGCCAAAATGAAATGAAAGCTGATAATGACATTTGTGGTATTGGCATGGGATTTCTTTACGATATATTCTTACATTGAGCTTAGTAGAAAGAACAATGAAACAAGAAACATTTCGAAAAAGAGTACTAAATGTAATAAATATAATAAAAATATGAGGCTTATGAAGGAGAATAAGTAGACGCCATCGCTCTTTTACCATAAGAGGAGACGTGATGGAAAAGTTGAAAGAAAAATGATTTATATGATACGAAAAAACTCCATTGGCATGATTCGAAAGAAATTGATGGGAGAGGTTTTTCTGATTTTTTGAGAGATATATTGGAGAATAAAGCGAGGTTTCAATATGTTCTTAATATTTTGCATAAAATATAAAATTGAACGCTCTGGTCTCTCTATGTAATTGTACAACCAAAAGTTTTTATTTATTTTTTAAGGGCAGTTGTGTATAATATTTGTTATGAACTATCATAAATTTCGGTTAATTGTTTATTTCGGTTTTCACTGCCAATAGTAAATTAAAAAAAAAAATTACGGTTTTTTACAATCGTGTTTAAAATATGATTTATGAAACGATTTACTATCATTTTTGAAAATTTTACTAGTAATCTCAGAGATATGAAAGTAATATAGACGTGATTTCTTTGAATGAATTTGATTTGAATCAATCACCGCTTTTCAATTGCGTTTTTAGAGTAAAGATTCTGATGGAGATTTTCCAATAATATTGCATTCTGCTTGCATCAATTCTTTTTTTTAAGAGTTTGCATATTATTACTTTAGAAAATTGAATCGGAAGAAATATTTATCTGAAGTATTATAAATGTATAAAAAACTGTATAAATTCCAAACTGATTACGTCTAGCGAAGTTTAAATGAGATCGAAAACCGAAGGAAATATATTATAAATTATATTATATTTAATGTGAATAATATTTATGATTTATATAAGAAGTAAAATTGTTTTTGAGTTCACGAAATATATGCATCCTCCCAATGATTTATCTTGATATTTAGAAATTTTGAAAACAAACTTTCAACAAATCATCAAATAATAGCAGTTTCGTTTTAATTTACCATCATTATGGCGTATCTATCTGTTTCCATTTAATGAAACATTTAACTTTTATTTTCATACTTATATTGCGTATTTGTATAATAAGCATTACCTGTACCACAAATTTGATAAATATAGGTTATAACAAAATACAATATATTTTAATATTTTTTTCTGAAAAGTTATGACAAACGTATTCATGCTTTTGTCATATCATGACATCAAGATAATTTTGTTTTACTTTAATAAAAAACCACAAGCCTTGAAGGCATAAAAATAATCTGTTTAGGATACGGAAGTTTTTAATATATGAAATTCAAGAGGATGTTGATATATTGAAATAAAAGGTTCTTATTGCTATCGCTAAAATAATTCAGATTTTTATTTTCTGAATTTTTCCATAGTTCTTTTATTTTTGTTAGTATATTATATACACTTTCATTACTTCTTATTATTTTATTATTACATATCTATTAATGAATTTTTTCATATTCATTAAATCATACATTATTTTATAATTATCTAATTAATGAATTTCAAACATACAACTGTACTGTATGTGTTTCAATTTTTGACATATAAGGATTTCACTTCAGTTTAATTATTTTTCATCAAACTTATTAACATATTATACATATTATTATAATAAATAATATTGATTTATATATGATATATTAACTTCAATATTGCTTTGTTAAATATCAATCTATAGCAAAAATTTTGCAGATCCGAATAATATATACCACAAATCTCATAAATCAAAACTGATATTTCGGTTACGCCTTTAGGAAAATTTTTGTATCTTGCCTTCTGAGCAATTTTAATATGATTTATGTCTGTGATATCATACAAAAAGCAAGAAATCCATGTCACATATTTTCACAAAACTTTGTAACTATAAAATGGAAACATTTTTCATTGTGCATATGAAAATATACATATGCTGCTTATTTGTATTTAAATAAATATTTTCTATTAATAGCAAAATTTCATAAAGCAACGTACATTGAGATGCACTATATGAAATATATTTATTCACTATCTAAAAGGTTTCTCTTTGAAAGACTTACGTTGCAAGTTAGTCATTCATATATCTACATAAATATTGTTTCTATAATATTTTTTGAATTTCTTTGCTCTAAGGGGCTCTATTGCTTCCAAATTAATGACAAACAATTTTATGAGAGTCTTACATCTTAATTTTCACTTTAAGATAATCCGCACTCCAACCAAAGTTTCATATGGAAATAACATAGGCAAATTCCATTTGTTGTTTAAATTTCACAACTTAGTGTCAAGTGAATCAAAATTTTGAGAATAACATTGTATTCGCTTATTTTGATTACAAATAAAAAAGTTACAAAAAATTTGATATATTTCATATTTAGGTATTTACAAAAATAGAAGAACCAAAAACTTTGGTTGGAGTGCAGGCTATCTTAAAGTTAATATTAGGAACTAAACTTTCAGAGAATTATTTTTTATCAATTTGGAAGCATTTGAGCCCCTGGGAGCTAGGAAATTCAGAAACATCCATATTAAGGATCACCCTAAATATAATACATATATTCGTAAACGTCTTTTGGTTTATCATATTACATTTGTCTGAATTGTACTAACACCTTTCATCATAATTATCCTTACAACTACTATCATCTATCCCTCCAAATTAATTTTCGCAATGTAGGCTAGTGCGAATGAAACTTGCCTAATTTTTATATCCGGGTTCTG